AAAAGTCTGAAGCTGTTTCTTTGCATGTCACAGGCTCTTTATTCATACAAATTTTTAAAAAATTATATCCTAAAATCGGTAGTTTATTTCAAACTAAGACGCTTCTCCAGTATCCTCATACTTGAAAAGACAGAGTCTGACTGACAGAGTTCAGGCCCTCAAGTTTCTTACGCGTGTGTGTGTGTGGTTTTTTTTTTTTTTTTTTTTTTGGACAGGGTCTCACTCTATCTCCCAGACTGAAGTACAGTGCAGTGGTGTGATCTTGGCTCACTGCAGCCTTGACCTCTTGAGTTCAAGTGATCCTCCCACCTCAGCCTCCCAAGTAGCTCAGACCACAGACACCTGCCACCATGCCCAGCTAATTTTAAGTTTCTTATATTCTAAAAAAAAAAAAAAAAAAAAAAAAAAAAAAAAAAAAAAAGATCATTCAACTTGTCTTGTCCTCAAACTTCCAACCAACCTCTCCCTTACCTTGCCAAACTTCTAGAGGGTGTTAAGTCAGTCCCTTCTGCGCAAAGTCTGCTAGGTCCATTTGGCTGGGCTGCCTTCTGCAGTCCAACTTCCACTCTCTCCTCTACACCGAAATTCTACTCTCCAAAGTCACGAGTTAGCTCCTAATTGGCTTCTTTTTAGCCTCCAGCCCATGGGAACATCATGTAACCTTCTGATAATGTGGCCTTGGCTTTTCCTGCCTCTCAGGGACTGTACTGCCCTGGCTCACCAGCAACCTTTCTTCCCACTCCTTTCAAAGCCAGCTCTCCCAAGTCATTTTTTTAATCTATTTTTTTGAGATGAATTTTTGTTCTTGTCACCGGGGACAGAGTGCAATGATACAATCTTGGCTCACTGCAACCTCTGCCTTCCAGGTTCAACCAATTGTCCCTGCCTCGGCCTCCCAAATAGCTGGGATTACAGGTGCCTGCCACCGCACTCGACTAACTTTTGAATTTTTAGTAGAGACGGGGTTTCACCATGTTGGTCAGGCTGCTCTAGAACTCCTGACCTTAGGTTATCTGCCTGCCTCGGCCTTCCAACGTGCTGGGATTAAAGGCATGAGCCACTGTGCCTGGCCCTCTCAAGTCTTCTTCCTGTGCTCACCTGCCCTTGACATCACATTCCCCAGAGCTCTATTCTCTTCTATTCTTAATTCTGTACTCTCTCTCTCTCTGTGGGTTTTTTCAATGGTACAAATAAGGATTTAACTCCTACCATTATGTAGATAATGTCCTAAACCTCCATTTCTATAACCAATCCTTTTGGAGTTCCAGATCTAAATTCTCAATAGCCTAGTGGACATTTCCACACATTTATCTAGGGCAAATGGGTCCATTCAACATAACTAAAACTAAGCTCCTTACCCCTCCTTATCCCTAGAAACTTCAGTCATGGTTTACTTCCTCTTCCTTACACCTGTCTCACATAACCCTCAGCAACTACCCTTGCCAAGAATCTCCACATAAGTGAATTTATTGCCAAGAAGTCCCACTGTGAATGCCTGGGTTATGAATCTACTCAAGATTTGAACCCAGAGTGCCTATGAATTCCTTCAGTTCCTAAGATCTGCAGCCACAACCCCTAGAAGGGATGGAGAATGAGGCAGGACAGAGGAGCTCTGGTGGTCAAGGCAGTATTTGTGGCAGCATGTCAGGGAAAGTAGAAAAGAAGAAAGGATGGCCCTTGGCAGGGAATCTTCTAGCAAGAGTACAGGATCTGGCATAAGGAGTCTTAATGGGGAGAGGAGTTTGTCTTAACAACGAAGTTCATGAAAGCAGAGTGTAAAATTATCTAGTGAATGACGGTAATAGTGGCTACTCACCACCTTAAAAAAAAAAAAATGGACTCAATTTAGAGCACATTCTATGACACTGGAAGGCAAATGTTTATAATGCATGTGTAGCCAAACAAATAAGCTGAAAAACGTCTTACCTTGACCAAATGTATATACATGACCATCTTTGGTCAAAGCAACAGAAAACTGAGTTCCACAAGCAACCTTTTTTATTCCAATTCCACAAAGGACATCAACTTTCTGCAAAATAAAATTATAAGGCACACAACTTTAAGAAGAAGAAAAAAATGACTCTTGAATTTGCCTAATGGCATGTATCAATAACTATCTTCCAACAAAAATACTAATTGTCACCTACCTGTTCAACCCAAATCCAAACCTGAAATGTTATTTTCTCCTACTCCTCTGCAAACTAACTGAATTTGGAGGAGGGAGTGGGCAGGGACAGGGGCAGTTTGACTAAAATCCCCAGGGCCCTATGTGAAGCAGAAACGTTCCTCTGGGTAACAGAGACCACAGGGAATTCCACGACCGTTTAAGGAACACTAGAAGAACAAGTTAGTTAAACTTTGAAGCTTTCACATGTGACAATAACTGCTTTATATGTTACCCCAGAGAGGGCTTTCCTGCCTCTCTGCATCCCTAGCTGAATATTCACTAGTCTACTTATTGGGATGTCACAGACTATAAATGGTGGTGAATCCGAATATAAACTGAAGGCTTGTAAATCACACTGATGGTGAAATGTGTCAGGAAAACCCACATAAAAGAATCACATAGGAAGTCTTCTGTGGAGCCAAGAAATATTCTATAGTGTGAATAACAGCTTCTAATTTCTTTCTTTATGGACTCATATTTCCTTTGTATTGTTGTTTAAAAGGAAGTATGTACCTCTGTAATTCAGTGGTAATAATAAGCAGACATGGCAGCTGCATGCAGAGAGTTACAAAGGATTACTCATAGTTCCTTCCATGACACCCTGCAGATATGCTTCTATTTCTTCTCTACATCAGAGGTCCTACAGTGTGCCACTCATTTAGGGAGACAGAAGCTTATCTTTGCAGAAGCTATTAACAGCTTACTTAAAATCAAGAGCTAGCATGTGGGCATTCAAGAATGCACAACAGAGGCTTCTAAACTTCATTATGAATTACCAAAAATACTAAACGTAAATTATTTCCAACTAAAAATAACTAGTGACATAGATGACAACTCTTTATGTTGTCTGAAAACCCGGATTCAAGGCAATACTGACCTGAGGTGAAGATTTCGCAGTGGAATTTCCTAACCCTAGTTTTCCATAGTCTCCATCTCCGAAAGCCCACACCACGGAGCCATCTGCCGACACTGCCAAAGTGTGGTTTAATCCACAGGCCACCTGAAGAAATAACAGCAACTGGTAAGGCAAATCACGAGACCTAAAACACATGCCCTTCCCTTTGCCCTCTCTCCCAGTTTCTGGGACTCTTTTTCTCTACTTCAGTGGAAAACTTGGCTATGTTTCCAAATATCTACATTGGTGTAGAGCATACTACGAATGGTAACCAAAATAAGTCAACAGGAAGTATTCCTAATGTCCACATGTAACTTTTTTCTTTAAGGTGAAATCCTTCAAATGTCTGTGGCTAAACCATAATCAGACAGTACGAAAGATAGGGGAAAAGTATACATAACTCAAAAAATACTCATTCATATCAAAAAGTATGTAAAGAATGATACAGAAAAAGTCAAAAACATTTACTTGTTAAGGGACACTCTTGATGTATACAAGACAGAGGTAATTACTGCTTAGGAGCAGTAGCCACCAGTGATGTTGCAATTCAGCCAACCAACTCAAGGCTACCAGACAGGAGCCACAAGTATCTGTATTTTTTAAGGATTTTTCTTTTCTTTTTTGAGACGGAGTCTTGCTCTGTTGCCCAGGCTGGAGTGCAACAGAACAATCTTGGCTCACTGTAACCTTTGCCTCCCAGGTTCAAGCAATTCTCCTGCCTCAGCTTCCCCAGCAGTTGGGATTATAGGCGCCCACCACCACGCCTGGCTAATTTTTGTATTTTTAGTAGAGATGGAGTTTCGCCATGTTGGTCAGGCTGGTCTGAAACTCCTGACCTCAGGTGATCCGCTCGCCTTGGCCTCCCAAAGTGGTGCCCGGCCCTTTTTAAGGGTTTTACAGCAAGTCGTATTAGTATGTTATAGAGGGGGGTTTTAAAATATTCACATCCTGAAATAAGGGTTACATTTGGTTTCTCATATAAACAAATTTGAACTGACTTAAAATATGAATTTCACATTGGCAAACAATTAAAATGATCAATTACACCATAACAAAATGTACATGAGGTTAGGTACAACTGGTGATCCTGATGTTCCTGAAAGGAGAGTGTCTAAGTGAACACAGAAGAAATGAAAAACAATGATCAGCTAGAAAATCTTATTGGTTTATTCCATGCCTGTCCAATCTGATATCCCTCGAGTGCAGTTACTCTCTCTGGAAGCTTTTTGTTAGAGGTATTTCCAAGACCCAGACGACCATAGTCACCATTCCCAAAGGTAAACAGTTTGCCATCTGAAGTTACCACTGCCGAGTGCTTGAAGCCACAAGACATCTAAGACAGAACCAAGGAGAAAAAAAACTTTTAATAAGAAAAACTAAGAAAAAAGTGTATCTGCCACTTTTGGTATTAAGCAATAAATTTTATATAAACTGCACTGAAAACTGGCTCTTCAAGATCAATGATTTTTTTTAAAAAAATTTATTTATTTATTTTTATTTTTAATTTTTTTTTCCTCGCTGTCACCCAGGCTGGCGTGCAATGGTGCAGTCTTGGCTCACTGCAACCTCCGCCTCCAGGGTTCCAGTGATTCTCCTGACTCAGCCCCCTAAGTAGCTAGGATTACAGGCACCTGCCACCATGCCCGGCTAATTTTTGTATTTTTAGTCTCGAACTCCTGACCTTGTGATCTGCCCGCCTCGGCCTCCCAAAGTGCTGGGATTACAGGTGTGAGCCACCTGGTCCGACCCCTATTTTTTCAGTTTTAAAGAGACAGCATCTTGCCCTGTCATCCAGGCTGAGGTACAGTGGTATGATCACAGTGCACTGTAGCCCTGAACTCCTGGGCTCAAGCAATCCTCCTACCTCAGCCTCCCAAGTAGCTGAACTACAGGCATGTGCTACCACACCTAGCTATTTATTTCTATTTTCATTTTTTGTAGAGGCAGGGTCTTGCTATGTTGTCTAGGCTGGTCTCAAACTCCTGGCCTCAAGCAATCCTCTTGCCCCAGTCTCCCAAAGTGTTAGGATTACAGGCATAAGCCACTGCATCCGGTCAACCAGTACACAGATAGGTCCGAGTTGCTCTCCTGCTCTCCCAAGTCTGACCTGTCTCAGCCTCAGGAAGCCCAAGCTGAACGGCATACCTTAACTACTGCTACTCTTCAGCTATGTTCAGATGATCTAGACTAAATGAGATAATAAATAGGGACACTGTTTATAAACCGTTAGGTGCTATGCAATTTTACAATATTATTTTAGAACACTCTTTTCCAGAAAATGCTTATGAACTTAGCTTTAGTAACAAAAATGATGGGTTAAAAGCAAAGTTTTCCGTTTATCTGTGTATTAAGAACTGTGTGGCAGAAGCTAAACCTCACAATATTCTTTCTAAGGGCCTGCAGCACCCTAGTCTGTGTCAACCAGCCGATTCGAGAAAAAGACCATTTTAACACCAAAGCCTATTCAAACTTCTGACAAGCTCAAGAATGAATCTGAACATCCAAAACAAATGGATCTCTTATAATGATTGTGTAAGATATTTTTACCATATTTTCTGTTACCTAACTTTAAGAAACCTGTTCAACAACTAGTGTATTTATGTTGAAAGGCAAACTCATCCATTTCCTGCCTGACCTGCACCACTTCTTCTCCTTGTAAAGCTTCGATCTGTCTGGGCCGCCGCTGCCTGTCGCTGTTCCCATGGCCGAGTTTACCATAGTCACCGTCTCCCCAGCTAAAAACCTCACCACTTTCAGTTAGGGCCATAGAGTGCCCATCAGAACCACAGGAAGTCACCAGCTGGGTCACCACAAAGCCTGGAACAGAACAGAAACACAACAGGAGTCACTGGATATTAAAATGCTCCTCTATACTTGCAGCTGCTACTGAATGCCCTCAATCAAAAACCACCAAAATGGTACTATGAAAATAAGAATAATTTCATTAGTTTTTTTTCTTTTTTTTTTTTTTGAAATGGAGTCTCGCTCTGTCACCCAGGCTGATTGTAGCGGTGCAATTTTGGCTCACTGCAACCTCTGCCTTCCAGGTTCAAGCGATTCTCTTGCCTCAAACTCCTGAGTATCGGGGATGAACAGGCACGCACCACCACACCCAGCTAATTTTTGTAGTGTTAGCAGAGATAGGGTTTCACCATGTTGGCCAGGCTGGTCTTAAACTCCTGACCTCAAGTGATCCACCCACCTTGGATTCCCAAAGTGCTAGGATTACAGGTGTGAGCCACAGTGCCCAGTCCTATTTCTTTAGTTTTAAATTGAATTTGTAGCCATAACCTAGCAAAATGGGAGCAATCACCTAAAAGAATGATGTTGACAAGGAAAAGGAGAAAGACAGCAATAATTATAGTCATTAATGACTGGCTATGCTCTAGCCACTCCTACAAATGCTTTACATGGATTATGTTATTTTCTACTTGCACAAAGAGCCTATGAAACAGATACTAACACCCCATTTTTACAATTGGGAAAACTGAGTCACAAAGCAGTCTTATAGTTTGTACAATGTCCCAGAGCCAAGGACCAGCAGAAGAGATAGGAACCCAGCACACATTCTCATTTCTACTACTGTGCTCTTCACACTCAGATCACAAGGAAAAGAACTTGAGCTTCTAGGAACTTGTTTTGAACTCATAGTTACTTGCATGCTTTTACATCTATGTTCTCTTTGTAGGCTTCAGGGTCACTATGAGTTCAGTTAATGAGCAAGGGGGAGGCTTGTGTGGTGGTTTCTCCAAAGTGTTCTCTCTCCAAGTCACACACAACTCTGACAAAGATGTCATTTAAAGTCTTCAGCACATTTGCAGATTTCCATACAAACTGATTTTTAATTTTAGTAAAACACATGCATGATTGCTACTGCTATTAACATCTGTCTACCTACACTTTTGCAATTTTCAAGCATTTGTTTACAATCTTTAGCGGGCCTCAAAAAGCGTTATTTATATTTTATTGAATTCTAGCATTCCTATGTTAAATAACTTGCCATATAGCTTAAAATATGGAAATTAAGTCTGTACACATGCCTAAACAAGGATTTCAATATACGTGAAATCCCAATATGATTTTATCTAGAAAAGGATTGAGAAGGGCAAAAGTTTGCATGACCAAACCCACAGTTAGGCCATAGGTTCTAACCAGCTTTTAATTAAGGACAATGTTACCTTGTAAGGCTGAAATAACTGTCAGCACATGAAGGTCATCTGAATTTCCTTGTCCTAATCTGCCATAACTTCCTTCCCCACAAGCCAACACTGTGCCATTGGCCTGGATGACAAAGGTACAATTCTGACCACAAATGACCTAGTAGAAAAACACAGAATTAAACATTTTATTATTTATTATATAACTTTAACATGAAAACACTTGAAATAATTCCACATATACACAGATGCCTTTATCAATTCTTTTATCCTTTTACTAAAAGGGGAGAGTTGATATAACTATGCAGTTCCTTAACTCCTTGATGACTATAAACTACTTATTTAACCAAGAGATGGATGAGATTCATCTAACTATTTGAAATAGTTTAGAAAAAAATGGATGAAAGAAAAAGGAAGGGGTGATGGGGAAATACTAAAGACTGGGCTAGAAAGAAGCAGAAACTGGAGGGAACGTACATAAGAACAAGTCATGCATTCTGGGATGAGCTGAGGTAGAGAAGAACAAAAGAGAAAGCAGTGGCCTCAAGAAGGGTTTGGCACTATATCATACCAGGATTATCAGAAAAGGGGAGTGGTCGACAAAATCTGGCTAAAGATCCTGGGAAGTTTAAAGCACCAAAGAGAAAATCACTAATTAGGAATATCTAAACTTCTATGAATACATACCGGGCAGGCCTACATCATGTTAGTTCCTTAAACTTGAAAGAAAAATTTAGAAATTTGTTAACTTCTTAAGTCTGATAAAAACCATAGCAAGTTTTTATTTGGAAGCTATACATCATGACTTTCTTTAATCATTCCTCACAATAGATTACGAAATGGACAAGCTTTATCTCACAGTAAGACAAGCAAAAGAACTAGAATTTCCAGTTCTCATGTTTCTTTTCTATTTTTAAATTTTATTTCATTTTTGTTTTATTTGTTGTTTTAATTTTTTTAATTTTATTTTTCTTTTCTCACAGGTTTTTACAGGAATCTTTTCTTTTTACCCTATTAGTTACCTGTTGGGCCTGTGAGAATGAGGGAGCTGCTGCAGGTACCATTACATTTCTTCCAGCTTCTGCCAGCTGTCCATGCCTGCCAGCACCCCATAAGTAGACATCACATTTACCTCCCAGGTGCCAGTCCTAGAAAACCACAATCATCTCAAAATTAGAGTCATCCATTCATTCAAATAAACAGGTACTAAGTACCAAGTGTGTGCCAGCCTGTATGGGAGACACCAGGGCACAAACATACAAGCATTTAGAATCAAAACATTTACTGAGAACCATCATACAGTTATCTTCACCTTTACTGACCTCAGGTCTGGAAGTTGCCCAAGACATAATTTGTTCATCCATGCCATTAATCCATTTACTGTTATCCTGCAAAACAGGGGATACATAGTGATCAATTCTGCTTAGTCAAGATTCATTTGTTCTTATTTAATCACAAAGTTTTCATCTAATCATTAAGTCTTATTTCCAAAAAACAACACGGTAATGTTATGAGAAATTAAGACTGGTTTTATAATTATGTCAAACTTGGTTTTATGCATTGTCACTATTTCCTTTTATTATAAACACTTTCACTATCAGTACGGCATTGGTGATTCAAAGCTAACTATGTGTCTTCTGAACACCCACAGATACAAGGTCATGTGCAGGACCATGCACCCCTATAAACTCTTTGTGTAGCTGTGGGCAAATCACTTCATCTTTCTAGGCTTCAGCTTTCTCATCTACAGTTTTATAGAATTGGGCCAAATGGGTTTAGAAGGATATTTCCTGATTAAAATATTCTATACTTTATGTGCTACATGACATTTCAGTCAACAACAAACTGCATGTATGAAGATGGTCCCATAAGATTATAAAACATTATTTTTATTATTCCTTTGATGTTCAGATACACAAATACCATTGTGTTACAACTACCTAGAGCATTGAATACAGTAACATTCTGCACAGGTTGTAGCCCAGGGGTAACAGACTATACCATACAGTCTTGCTGTAAAGTAGGTTATATCATCTAGGTTTGTGAAAGTACTATACACTCGACGATATTTTCAGTCAAGACTGACTAACAATGCATTTCTCAGAACATATCCCCGCTATTAAGTGATGCAAGACTATAGTTACATAGTTGTACTCAATTTAGATTTGTCTGTTTCATATTGTATTAATATTTATCTATCCAAATGTTTGTATATAAAAATCTTAAGTATATAAAGAGGTTGTCAGATCATGTGCTGGCCTGTAGTCTACACAAGTATTTCACCTATGTCACAGTTTCTAGAGTAGACACTCTCAAATACAATCAGAATGAAATAACAATTAGAATGCTCTTCTTTATTTTATTTGATGCTAATTAAAGACATGACTGAAATGCCAAATAAATTAGAATCTATATGTGGCACATAACTCACAAAACGACCAGGAAAAGATGCTAAAATATATACAAGAAACGTACTAACAAAATACCTATGGACAAAAGAAAATGAGAAAATATGGGGCTATGTCATTGAGAGCTGGCAGGTTTACAAGAGTTCAGTAGTGGTTACATTATCAATTCCTGTCACTATAGAGGCCTGTCATCAGATTTAAAATGACTATCTGAAAGAAAAATATTTTCAGTTTCTCTTAAGGGTATCCTTGTAGGCATTCATACTAGCAAAGACTTATTAGGGGTCTGCTACATGCCAAATACCCACGATAAAATCTCAGCTGCAAATAACAGCAGCTCACAGTACATTTACCATTAGAAATACAAGCTCATCCTCTGGAACAGGTTCTAGATCTGGAACAGTAAAAGATTCTGGAAACTGTGCTCCATTGGTCAGGGCTTCAGCAGCTTTTATAGTGGTTGAGAAACATTCTAACCAGGCCCATTCATTTGGATTCCAGGATGCAGGGTCAGGGAGACAGTTCTGGTGGTGTGGTGGCACTGGAGGGTTACACAATAGCTGATCCAGATGAAGTCCCACAGCAAGGGAAGCCAAGCATTGCATGTAGGGACTGTGAACAAGTTGGTCACCACAAACTACATGAGGCTAAAAGAAAATACAAGGACATTATGTTGAAGAGTTTGTGCCAAATATTCTAAATTAACCTAATGTATTCTGAAAGTCTACAGTCATTTTTAAAGTTTTTACTGTTTAAGCTTTTTGCTAGGAAATAATTTTAGATTTAGAGTGAGTTGTACAGATAGTGCACAGAATTTCTGTATATGCTTCACCCAACTTTATCTAATGTTAACATCTTATACAATCCTGGCACATTTATCAAAACTAACAAACTGGCCGGGCGCGGTGGCTCACGCCTGTAATCCCAGCACTTTGGGAGGCCGAGGCGGGTGGATCACGAGGTCAAGAGATCGAGACCATCCTGGTCAACATGGTGAAACCCCGTCTCTACTAAAAATACAAAAAATTAGCTGGGCATGGTGGCACGTGCCTGTAATCCCAGCTACTCAGGAGGCTGAGGCAGGAGAATTGCCTGAACCCAGGAGACGGAGGTTGCGGTGAGCCGAGATTGCGCCATTTCACTCCAGCCTGGGTAACAAGAGCGAGACTCCGTCTCAAAAAAAAAAAAAACTAACAAACTAACATTGATACAATACTAACTAAACCAAAAAACTTTATTTGGTTTTCCTCAGTTTTCCCACTAATACTCCTTTTCTGCTCCAGGATCCAATCTAAGATATCACACTGCATATAGTACATTTTCATCATGGTTTTCCTTGATTAGAAAAAAAAGCAGATAACTATTAAACCACAGAGATCTGCTCTTCTCACTTTTCCTCCTTTACCAAGAGAATTCTGGTAGCCATAAAAGGAAAATCCTTTCTTTTTCCATGGCATTCCCTAGTTGTGGTAAAGCAACTGTAAGAGCCTAAGCGATTCAGAAAAGAAAACCTGGGGAAATAAATCAGTGAAATTAACTGGGTGTGGTAACAGCTGATAACAAAAAAAAAAAAAAAAAAGAAAAAAAAGAGTTCTGCTGAGGGCACTACACTGTAACTACTGAGAGTTGGAAGACAGGCTACTTTAGGATCACTGTCTGGACAAGTTTAAATGCTATATTTCTCATTCCAGTATTTAATGACCTTACTTAGTTCAACATAGCTCTTCCACTAAAATTTTCCACAAAGATTTATCTGGTAAGTGGAAATGATGTTCATTCTCATACCCACATACATCCCTATCCCCCAACTCTGGGATGGCCAAGTCATATAAAAACAGATATATGGGTCAGAAAAGGGAAGATGATATTCTGCTGCATAAGTATTTTAAGAAATTTTGGAATGAATAAATAATCTGAAAAACAGTAATATAAACTTAGTGTTTATTTGTTTCTTTATTTTACTCTGGTAAAAATAAAGCAAGGATAGACTCAAGATTACTAAACAACTCTTTCAGGTCTGGCTTACCTTCATTTGATTCTGCCCAAATAGCCCCACTTATTTTCCTCAGACCTCATGCTCTCAACAGATAAGTTCAAGGCTATAACCAAATTCCAAAGCACCAGTTATCTGTGGATCTCTAGGAGTGAGTGTAATGAGTTACCTTTTCATAGGCATACTGCTCCTGAAGCATCATGGGGAGCCGCTCCAGAAATGCTCTCATACAGGGAGCCATGTTCAATCCCAGAACACCCTGCTGCTTCAATGCTGTCCTACAGGTTGCCAAAACGTGATTGGCAGCTGCCCATTCTGCTGTACAATTCACAACTAAAACATCCTGGTTGAAAATAAATCATGCCACATGATAAATTTGTTTAAATAAAAGATAATGCTATCACCATTTAATCTGAGAAATTCCTTCTAGTAATTGGAACATCTTTTGGGATGTAAAATATCCAAATAGGCTATACTTTTAATGTCTATGGAACTTCAACATATCCTAAATTTTGTCTACGTAAAAATAATAAGAAATAAAATTTGTGAACTACCTCTGATTAGCTGGTTACTTTTTAAGGAAATAATGTCAATTATTAACTATTTCTTCAGAACTTGCAGAATAAGGTATCTAGTATATTTCAAAAGTCATGTCTGACGTGACTACAATAGCTGCAAAAGAGGTAGCACTGCTTTAACTCTGGTTCTCTGGCTTATTCTACACAGACCACTACTGCCTAGGGTCTGATTCTACATTGTACTTTCAGTAGGACCTTTCATGAAGGTTTACAGCTTATTTTAACATCATTTAACCATATAAAATGTAAATCAAATCAGTATATTGGCTCTAATCTTTAAGGGTGTGAAAAATATTACTGTAGGGATAATGTCACATCATAGCATTACTTCACAGCAGGGGACCAGCATTTTTACTAGATTATTAAATTTGAAAGCCAAGATATATTTTGTACACTTAAACATCTTTGCAATGGTTCTTCTTTCCAAGGAAACAATGTTTGAGATAGTTTTTTTTTCCTTTGAGACAGGCTCTTGGTCTGTCACCCAGGTTGGAGTAGAATGGCACAATCTTGGCTCACTGCAACCTCTGCCTCCTGGGTTCAAGCGATCCTCCCACCTCAGCCTCCCAAGTAGCTGGGACTATAAGCATGTGCCACCATGCATGGTTGATTTTTGTATTTTTAGTAGAGATGGGGTTTCGCCATATTGGCCAGGCTGGTCTTGAACTACTGACTGCAAACAATCTGCCTACCTCAGCCTTCCCAAAGTGCTGGGATTACAGGCATGAGTCACTGCACCTGGCCTTGAGATAGTTTAGTGCTACTGTCAAAAATTATGGCAGAAAGTCAAAATCCACTTTATCCCTTCCAATAGAAACGAAATTGTTCAATAATTAGGCACTGTCACCAAAGTATGGGGTATAGTAGAAAAAAGTACCAGACTATAAATCAGAAGACTTAAGATTTTAATTCTCCTCCTGCTACTAAATAGTTGCACTGTTTTGGACAGTAATAATCCCTCTGGGTGTCAGGTTTCTCCTCCATAAAGTGAGGTGGTTAGACTATGATGCTTACACCCCATCATTTGATATAACTACAATATTACCTTTGATCTATTTGAGCAAGCAGCTACTCCAACTTCTGGAATCCATACTGTGGTCTGAATAGCTCCAGAGCCTATCACAACAGTTTGTAAGACAGAGCCGTCCTAAAATGAGATATATTTACCAATACAGATCATTGAACCTTAGGTATAATTTACATTTAAACTTATACTTCATATTGACAAAAACATATTCTAAACTCTACATTTTGGCTAAATTCAGCAATGTCCAATCGCATACCTACTACCCAACTTTCTAACACCCAACTGATTTTAAAAATACTTATCATCAGTAAGAAAAACGTTAAGGGCTGAAGATTCTGAAAGAAGTTTCCTCAGTATTCAAGAGATTACTAGATAAAATGTTTCTAGGATTGGTTAATTTTTATCACATGTGTTTAAGTTAATGTCAAAATATTCCTCAACATAAAAAGAAAATCTATGCTCTTACCCTTAAAGACCAAATGTTCATGAGCCCACCTAGTCCACCAGACACCAGGGCCAACCCATCAGAACTAAAGGCAACAGTTCGAACAGGAGTGATGTGTCCCCGCAGCTGATAAACACACTTGGCTCCTGATGATTTCCTATATCCATCCTGAAATTCATTATTTTTAACATGCATTAAGATAAAGATAAATTATAAGTTCAAAATTTATTATTCACTCTTGGAAATTTTATATTTTAGAATAAAATTGGCACAGGGGGAGAGATAATTTCTTTCATAAAGGATAGTTAGCTTGACTGAGTAATAAAATATCAATCTGATTCTCCTTTGTTGAAGCTGACTTTCATCTTTTAAAAAAAATATATTTCTCAACTAGTTTTCTACTCTTCAAACTGGCAGAAATGATAACATCTCAAAGTTCTAATTATCTCTTAGAGACAGGAAAATTCTGGCTACTTTTTAACCCGTGTTTTGATTTCTAAATTTCTACTTCATGTAATTTTCATTTTTATCCCCTAACATTTGTGAAGTGCACATGCTGACTCTATTCAAATAGATTGCTCTTTTTGTTGGCTGATGGTTCTGTCTGTCACACATTTGTTCTGCAGGCTATAGAAGTGACATAGGTAAGGCCTGTCTATAGGGCTACCCTCCAGCACAAAGAGTAAGCCAGACTTATTTGTAGTGCTCCCACCTCCACTTCTGTGATATTCTGTGATATTCTATTAGTGAGTTGGCTACTCCTTCCATCTCTCTTCATATCTTCTCTCCACCCTTAAGTTCCTTCTTCAAGTTATGACATTACCCAAAAATGATATAAAGTATTTCTGCCATGGGTATCATGAGCAAAAAAAGAGCAACGGAAGTTACAAACTGGTAGTTCCGAGATGTGATCTGACTGGCCACTCAGTGTTCTACAATTTTAAGTCAGGTGCCAATGTTTGATGTTAGGAGATTTTACTTTAACACTGGATTCTTAGCATCTATTGGAAAAAATAAAACAATCTGGTAAAAATAGGCTCTTAATTCTGGAAACTGACAATCAGTTGTGTGCCTTTGTATAAAGCATGTAAGCTTCTTTTTTTCTGTTTTTATTTTTTACCCTCTCCAAACCTTCCAACCCCCAGCTTCATGAATTTATGTTACTCGCCTAGAGGGCTCTAAATATCTTAATTTGTAACTTCTGTTTAAGATAAAGGAATCATTCTTCATAGCAGGGCTTCTGGCAACAGTAGGAGATTCTCTGGATGGATGTGCTCCCACGGAGTTTCTATTTTATGTCATTAACAACTTAACTTATAATTCATCTATCTGTAGTATGAATTATACCCATTATCACAGTAACAATCACCACTTAATATATATGGAATATCTCACTTTACCAAGCAATTTTGGTATCTCTGATTTATAAAAAAATTAAGCTAATTCAGAGACCATACAAAGTATGACAATTATTTATATTTTCCAATGGATCTTGCCCTTTGGGATATGGTAATGACTTTTTAATAACCAAGGGAGAATTACTTTGATATCATATTCTTTCCATGGTTTCAGATTAAGTCTTCAAAAACACAAGAATGTTACCTGGCAATTTGATTCCTGGTCCCACCATCCTTCTGCACTAGTCACACTGGTCTGTGTAGTATCTTGTGGAATGCGCCAAACACATACTAAGCCACTCTGACAGCCACTAAAAAAAATTGATCACATAAAACCAAAAACTGTCAATATGTATAAGTAAAAATATTTCCAAATTGCAATCAATTAAGATCTGACAGAACCACTACAATATTTTTTAAACTTATCTGTAATACATGTAATCTTTTACAAGAAATGCAACTGAGGCCAATACACCCAGAGACAAGGAGATTACATATCAAATTTCACATTGGACAATTACTGCTCTTTCTTTTCTCTTGAGGTAATCTTATAACGTTACACATTATAAGAACAGTAACTGGCAATAAACTCTTTAAGACTACTGAGAAGCCACACTTAATGCAAATGAGTCTATATCAATATAAAAACTAAGACCCATAGATGCAAAACGACAACATACGTAGCCATCAGTAACTGCAATTTGGATCCTTTCCCTGGAAGGCGGCACCAAGCAATGCCATTTACAATAGATGGATGGCAGAGTGAATGCAGACAGCGCCAGCATCCCGAAACAGGGCCCCAGAGTTTCACACTGTCTTCTTTGGCACATGTCATAAGAATATGACCCGTAGGGTCCCACTTCATGCTAATAAGAGTATCCTTAAAATGGTACAAAGAGAAAAAAAATCAGAGTAATGTTTCCTTCACAAATACTTTAAGTTCAATAATACATAACCTACATTTTATAACTCAATTATTTTGAAATCAATATTACATGCAAATCAGATACTGCCATATCATTCCCAATCACCAGACCAACTTACTCTTTAATATAGTTTGTGTTATATATATTTGCTGCAGTCAAAGCTCAACAAATGTTAGTAGAATTAATGAATTAAGAAATACTGACTCAAAAGGGTATGTTATCTCTCATTAGCATTTGTATTTATTAAGAGTTAACCTTATTGACTGGTAATCATTCCAGTATAAAAAAGAGGAGACTTAAAAAAAATGCATCCCTCACATCCAAAATAGCAATCACTTATGAGAATCTGGGCTACGTTTTATGTTTATATGGTTGCGGTCATTGTGCTCTTCTGATTTTATTTTTGTTTTTCAATCCTCCTCCATACCTTTCAACTCCTGGTTTCATGCATTTATCTTACTTGCCTAGATTGTCCTGTAAATATCTGAATTGGCAACCTCTGTTTAAGGTAAAGAAATCATTATTCATGAATGGAATTTCTGACATTACTAGGAGGCATTTGAACAAGAGGTATTCCCAAGGTGTTCACACTTCATGGTTTTGGCTTTACTCTTTCATGGCTTGATTATTTATTTTTGCATAGACTCATCCATGTATATCCATGGTCCAAAGACTTTGTGCAACAATAGAACATTAAGTCATAAGTGACTGATGTAAAAAAATTTTAAAAGAAACTAGCATTATGCAATAGTAGAGTTGTTAAAAAAAAAAAAAAAAAAAAAAAAGAACAAGAAAAAGTAAATATCTGGTAAGGATTCTTTTACCAGAAAATATATAAATAGTCAATAGGCATATGAAAAAATGCTCAACATCACTAATCATCAGAGAAAAGCAAATTCAAACCACAATGAGCCACGTGTGGTAGCTCACGCCTGTAATCCCAGCACTTTGGGAGGCCAAGGTGGATGGATCACTTGCGGTCAGGAGTTTGAGACCAGCCTGACCAACATGGTGAAACTCTGTCTCTACAAAAATATAAAAATTAGCTGGGTATGGTGGTGGGTGCCTGTAATCCCAGCTACTCAGGAAGATGAGGCAGGAGAATTGCTTGAACCTGGGAGGCAGAAATTACAGTGAGCCAAGATTACACCACTGCACTCCAACCTGGGCGACAAAGCTAGACTCTGTCTCAAAAAAATAAAAATTTAAAAAATAATTTAAAAAAAAAACACAAAATGAGATATCATCTCACCCCCAGTCAGGATGGTTATAATATTAAAAAAAACAAAAAACAACAGTTGTTGGCAAGAAAGTAGTGAAAAGGGAACTCTGAAACACTGTTGGTGGCAATGTAAATTAGTATAAACTCTATCAAAAACAGTATGGAGAGGTCTCAACAAACAAAAAATAGAACTACCATTTGATTCAGCAATCCCACTACTATCTACCCAAAAGAAAATATTAATCATTTTCTCAAAAAGATACCTGCATTCATATTTTATCACAGCACCATTAACAATAAAGATACAGAATCAACCTAAGTGTCCACCAATGGATGACTGCATAATGAAAATGTGGTATATATAAACAATGGAATACTATTCGGCCACATGTATTTTACAGCAACATGGTTGGAACTGGAGCCCATTATCCTAAGTGAAATAAGTCAGACACAGAAAGGCAAATACTACATTTTCTCACTTACAAGTCGGAGTTAAATGATGTGTACACACGGACCTACAGTGTGGAATGACAGACAAGGCCGACTTGGAAGGGTGAGGGCTGGGAGGAGGGTGGATGATGAGGGATTACTTGATGGGTACAATGGATGTCATTTGGGTGATGGATATCCTAAAATCTCTGACTTCACCACTGTGTAATCTATGCATGTAATAAAATTATACTTGTATCCCATAAAATTATTTTTTAAAAGATAAATTTACCTTATGTGCATCAATTAGAACAATGCCTCCTTTTTCAAGTGGTTCCTTTGTTCCCAGTAACAATTTTCCATCAAAATATCCCACTGCAAATGGTCTGTCTTCACTGAACCATGCAATGCAAGTAACAGACACTAATATGATAAAAACAAAAGAAAAAGAAAAGGAGAATTGTCATTGCCTGACTTAAAAGACAGAGACTTTTAAACAAATATATGATAATGCAACCATTGCAAGTTTCCAAACAGCTCTTCAATGCATTTAGACAAAATGCAGGTATACACTGGGGATTCCATGTAACTAACATACTTTTTAAAAATATCACTTATCTGTGACAAGGACTACCTCATTTATAATCTTTCATTCTTTTTCAAGTGGCTGTTGAGAAATAAAGGTAAAAATTAAATTCCTTTGGTGATTTTAAGTCACTGTAGGTTCTTGCCTTTTGGATCAGAATCTACCATGAAACTGAGAAGTGAAATAACACAAGTCATGGAAAGAAAATTATGTCTCTTTTTCTGCTAATTTAATATCCCCTACTTAGTATGTTTCCATATTCTTTTTTTGTTTGTTTGTTTTTGTTTTTGGGACGGAGTTTCGCTCTTGTTACCCAGGCTGGAGTGCAATGGCGCGATCTCGGCTCACCGCAACCTCCGCCTCCTGGGTTCAGGCAATTCTCCTGCCTCAGCCTCCTGAGTAGCTGGGATTACAGGCACGCGCCACCATGCCCAGCTAATTTTTTGCATTTTTAGTAGAGACGGGGTTTCACTGTGCTGACCAGGATGGTCTCGATCTCTTGACCTCGTGATCCACCCGCCTCGGCCTCCCAAAGTGCTGGGATTACAGGCTTGAGCCACCGCGCCCGGCCGATGTTTCCATATTCTATCAAAATGTTCTGTTCTAATAATCTATTCTTACTTGCTTCTTTAAGTATATGTAACACTGAAAAGCTACAAAAGAAGTAAAAACAGTATTTATCTGTGAGGGTAGACTGGGAGTGTGGGAACTGAGTAGATGGGAGAACGACTTCACTGTATACTTTTTTTTTGTTTGTTTGTTTCTGAGATGGAGTTTTGCTCTTGTTACCCAGGCTGGAGTGCAATGGCGCGATCTCGGCTCACCGCAACCTCCGCCTCCTGGGTTCAGGCAATTCTCCTGCCTCAGCCTCCTAAGTAGCTGGGATTACAGGCACGCGCCACCATGCCCAGCTAATTTTTTGTATTTTTAGTAGAGACGGGGTTTCACCATGTTGACCAGGATGGTCTCGATCTCTTGACCTTGTGATCCTCCCAAAGTGCTGGGATTACAGGCGTGAGCCACTGCACCCGGCCCCACTGTATACTTTTTAAAACTTAAATTTTTGAACCCTATGAAGGTTTTATCTATTTTTAAACAAACAAAACAAACCTCTTCAGTTAATGGAATACCATGTAAGCAGGCACTATGACCTTTGCATTACTCCACCTGCCCCAGACAACAAACAACAATCTAATGAGATGCATTCATGTTCAAAGGAGCACAGTAAGAAGAAAGCAGATTTCTTACTATCTCTTGTCAGACCAGGAATTCCCCCTTTCCCCCTTCCTCCATTACTTTAATTTTACTCATTTTTTAAAAAAACAATTTCATTTCGGCCAGGCACAGTGGCTCACACCTGTAATCCCAGCACTTTGGGAGGCCAAGGAGGGCAGATTAGGAGTCTGGAGTTCAAGACCAGCCTGGCCAACATGGTGAAACCGTCTCTACTAAAAATGCAGAAAAAAAAAAAAAAAATGAGCTGGGCGTGGTGGCATGCACCTGTAGTCCCAGCTACTCAGCAGGCTGAGGCGGAAAAATTGCTTGAACCTGGGAGGCGGAGGTTGCAGTGAGCCGAGATCGGGCCACTGCACTCCAGCCTGGGTGACAGAGTGAGACTCTGGGCACTGCCACCTGCATTAGGTCTTGTGTTTGATGTGCTCTTGTGAATTTACTTTGTCAGAACAAAATATTTGCAAGTTGGATTCAGGAATCTCTCCTTTTAGCTTCTGATCTGGCTATGAAATTCAGGAAACCTGTTCTCCCATTGCCTAGTAATCACCCCATGTAGGTGTAAATTGTGACAAAGTAGATCTGACCCCTAAGGGACCCCCAGGGTGACCCCCCACCCCCCAGAAAAAAACCCATTCACACCAGTGTATTTAAAATAGCCTGCACTTTGGAGATGCTGGCTGTGCTTTCAGTGCTTCACAGGAAGACTTGGGCTTCCTGTGAAGAAATGGGCTTTCCCTCTTCAGATACCTGAAGGGAGTGCTTTGAGGCAGGTGATGGGCTGGGAGTGTGGGCAGCCTCCCTCCAGCCTGGGGGCCCTCTGTGGACCTGGGCTCCCTGGTGGGCACTGGAACCTCCCTTGATGTTCCCTCCGGCACTAGCACCACTGCAACTATAGACCCGAGTGCTGTTGTATTTTGCCTTGCTGTGTGTGCTTTTCCTTGTGTAAAATTGCTGTTCTTCTGACAATTTAAGTGACTTGTTTACTGTAAGTTTGAAAATAAAAATTAAGAAAACAAACAATTTCACCTTTACCAATGATTATGACCTCTAACTTTCAAAGGAGACTTGGAATCTGCTATAAATATTCAGCCACACAAAAGATGAATGACTAATATGTTATAATACTATTAAATATCATTTTGGCAGAGATATGTAATGGGGGCTGGGAGATAAATACCTTCCAATTGAGTAACTAATTAAAATTAAACCACAACTGGAAAATTTTAAAAACAGAGCCAAGATAATATTCACTTGGCATTTTTAAAAGCAAGTGCCAAAAAGCTAAGTCTAAAAGCAAGTGCCAAAAAACTTAGTCTAGACATAAGTGCGTCATTTACCATCCTTTCGATAGCAATGCTCCAATTCTCGACGGTGCATGGTGGACACATCAACAACTTCAATCAGTCCTAGAGATCCATCCATCCGTCCCACCAACAACAATTCTGGAGACTCTCCTGACCAGGCTGCAGCCGGACCCTCTTCTGGCCAAGCCAGGGCAGATACCCAGTGAGGCTGAATATCTACTAATCCTTTTCCTCCTAAAGAAGGAAAAAATGTTAACTAGTTGTTACTTAGTTATTAAAAAGAAAAAAATAAATACTACCTAATTCTAATATGTACTCCAAGCAGTTCCAAATTTCGTAATAGCCTACTAATGAATAAGACTCTGAAGGCAGGATCCGTCATTTATATACTACATATGATCATAAAATTAATGTCTTTTAGCCAGGCATAGTGGCTCATGCCTGTAATCATAGCACTTTGGGAGGCCAAGGTGGGCAGATCAGCTGAGGTCAGAAGTTCAAGACTGGCCTAGCCAACATAGTGAAAACTCATTTCATCTAAAACCACACAGAAAAATTAGCCAGGCATGGTGGCACGCACATGTAGTCCTAGCTACCTGGGAGGCGGAGGCTGCAGTGAGCCGAGATCATGCCACTGCACTCCAGCCTGGGCAACAGAGAGAGATTCCATCTCAAAAATAAATAAATAAATAAATAAATAAAAATAATGTTTTTCTGTAATTTTTCTTTAAATTTTTGATCCAAGATCTCACTCTGTTAGCCAGGTTGGAGTGAATGCAGTGGCATGATCATGGCTCACTGTAGTCTCAGACTCCCAGGCCCAAGCAATCTTTGCGCCTCAGCCTCCCGAGTCCCTAAGATTCCAGGCACACGTCACAACACCTAGCTATCTGTAACTATTAATCAGGCAAAACGGTAGCTTTATAGAAGAGAGAGTAAAGAAAACGTCCTTTCTCAACACTTACTAATAACCAAATTAGCATAAGAATTACCTGTACTTAAGGCTAACTATTCCTCAAATACGTGACACAGAACAGCTATTCCTCAAATATGTAAAAACAAACAAAAATACTAATAAGACCAATATTACAATAATTATTTTTACTTTTCAGAGAAGATAATAAAAGTTGATAAAAATTTGTGCCTACAAAATAAACACAATGGAAATATTTCAAGCAATTCAAAAGAATATGTAGCTTAAAATTCAGTGACCATTACATCTCCTCAAACCCTACTCTGAATATTTAGTGGTACATAAAAATAATTTTAAGTTTATAACTACTAGGTTAGTTGAAATTCCCAGAAAGAAAAGTCAAGAAATGAGCACTTCCTCTCTAATTTGAAGCACAGAGTGCATAGATTTTTGAAGTTGGAAGGCTTGTGAGTTTCAACGTGAAAAGAAACACTGTTTGGACAAAGAAGACTAAGAGAAAGGCTTTAAAAAAAGACAAGACTTTTAGACTGGGCGTGGTGGCTCACGCGTGTAATCCCAGCACTTTGGGAACATGAGACGGGCGGATCATGAGGTCAGCAGTTTGAGACCAGTCTGGCCAATATAGTGAAACCCCATCTCCACTAAAAATATAAAAAATTAGCTGGGTGTGGTGGTATGTGCCTGTAATCCCAGTTACTCGAAAGGCTGAGGCAGGAGAATCACTTGAACCTGGAAGGTGGAGGCTGTGGTGAGCCAAGATCGCACCATTGTACTCCAGCCCAGGCAACAGTGCTCAAAAAAAAAAAAACAAACAACTACTTTCAGAAGTTTACTAGTATTTACATGACTCTTACCATTAACTTGCCAGATATTCACCATCTTTTCCAAAGCACCTGCTAGATACTTGCCACTGATACTCCAGGAAACTGGTGAGAAACTTGGATCGCTGGGTGATCCCAGGCTTTCCTCAGCATCCCCTTCCCTAGAAGATAACAGATATGTATGCAGTTTTAATCACCATCATTCAAAAGTCAATTAAACCCCAAACCTTAAAATAAGGGTTTCATATAACGTAGAGTGTACATAACAGATTCTTATGTTTCAAAAGCTTGGCTAGCAGTATTTAACAGCTACACATTCATTAATGTTTGTCATCATGTGAAAAATGCATTATAAAAGAGTGATATTAGACTTTTCCTCATTTAATGTAGTATATAACTTGTCAATAAAGGCATTTAAATTTTGTACTGATTGTACAGATGGTTATTATTCAGAAGACATTGATTCTTATTTCCCTCACCTCTAGGAAAGTTTTCAGAAAAGAAATAGCTACAGCTGGCTATAAAGCTATTAAAAATGCTACATTTGATACAGAAGCAATATAATTACTCTAATTCCTAAACAACTCTTCCAGACCTATGGCAAATTAGCCTACTGTTTTACATAGCTGAATATTTATTTACTAGTAGATCTTGATTTAATTCTAAGTTCAGATACACATGGTTTAAAATTGTTTTCCAAATTGTTATCCTGGAAAGTTAAAAACACACACTGAAGATACAGTAATACTAATCTAAAAGATTTTAAAAACTTTTAGTGACAATATGATTGTATTAACACAACCAAGATGAGGGATGTTTAGGCTTCTCTTATTTTAAATGTTACACATGTGATGTTAGCACTCACAATCTGTTGAACACACAGGTCTGTTGCAGTGAATATTGCTTCTTGGTAACATTCCATACACGGATGGTGCCATCATTGCCACTTGTAGCCAAAAGACCTTTTTTATTACACCAAACACAGGTCATTACCTAGAAAAAGTTGCAACAGGTAAGTCTAGCAATAACTGATTCAAATGATTTTATTATTTTAAAAAGTTGTATCCAATTTTTAAAAATCTACCATGAAATCGTAAAAGAAAAGCATCCATTTCATTTGTTTTCTTTTCTTGAGATGAAGTCTCGCTCCATGGCCCAGAGTGGAGTGCAGTGGCTCAATCTCAGCTCACTGCAACGTCCACCTCTTGTGTTCAAGCAATTCTCATATCTCGGCCTCCAAGTAGCTGGGATTACAGGCATGTGCCACCATGCCTAGCTAATTTTTGTATTTTTAGTAGAGACAGGTTTCGCCATGTTGGCGAGGCTGGTCTCAAATGCCCGGCCCCAAGTGATCCGTCCACCTCAGCCTGCCAAAGTTCTGGGATTATAGGCATGAGCCACCACACTCAGGCTCCATTCTTTTCTAAATGGCTTGCAAGTTTATTTGAAGCTATGCTTACTTGAAGCATAGTTTTAAGGTACTATGCACTAACATACTTGAATTATCTGAGACCCATTATAATTTTGACCAAGTATGTTTACTCAATAAGTACTTTAACATTTTATGTTCTACAAAATAAATAACACATACTAACAAGTAATTTAAAAAATTGTTTAAGTAGGCCGGGCATCGTGGCTCACGCCTGTAATCCCAAGCACTTTGGGGGGCCCAGGTGGGTGGGTCACCTAAGGTCAGGAGTTTGAGACAAGCCTGGACATGGAAAAACCCTGTCTCTACTAAAAATACAAAAAGTTGGCTGGATATGGTGGTACACACCTATATTCCCAGCTACTCGTAAGGCTGAGGCAGGAGAATTGTTTGAACACGGGAAGCGTGGACTACAGTGAGACGAGATCTCACCACTGTACTCCAGACTGGGCGAGACTCTGTCTAAAAATAATAATAATAAATGAAAATAAAAATAAAATTGTTTAAGTAATACAATTCAGTTTTTATTTCTTGTTGTAGCTGAGACAAAGACCCAGTGAGTCAGATTAAAATAGGCTAATTTCTTTTCCTCTTACATGTTGTCCTTCAGTGTCTGTGGGTGATTGGTTCCATGATGCCCTGCCCCAAATTTGCCGATGGATTCCTTATAAAAATAGGGTAGTGCCTAAATATAACATATGTATATCGTCCCATGTAATTTAAATCATCTCTAGATTACTTTAAACACCTAACAGAATGTAAATACTATGTAAATAGTTATACTGTACTTTTTGTGTTTTTTTAATCATTGGATCATTATTTATTTATTCTTCCCCCATATTTTCCACTTGTGGTTGGTTGAATCAATGGATGCAGAACCCCCAGATACAGAGGGCCAAATACATAAGCCTTCATCTTTTGTAAAGCTATTCCTTCTACTTTCTTCTCATCCCCCATCTTATTCTCCCATTCAGATACTATTATATCAAACCAGCATACAGAGAAAGCAGAGTTGGTAACTGCCAGGAACATCTTTGTCATTGTGTCGGGGGGGGGGGGGGAGTGTGTGTGAGTATGTGTGAGACAGAGTAACACAAAAAGAGAGACCTAAACTTTGAGCTCTT